TGGATTTCAATGAATCTCCTCCCGTTTAACCCGTTGTTCGTCCCTCGTCTCCAATTCGTCGACGCGGACGTGCCGCGAGCGGGCCCGTGATCACAGAGTCGTCGTCCATCTTTTTTCTTTTTTTGTCGTTTTTCTTGTTTTTGTTGCTTGTTCTTTTGTGGAATCTTACATTAAGCGACACAACATATCATGCATTTCCATTTAGTACACGTACGACAAGATACGAGCTTGACATCGATAATACCACTTAGTCGGAAATGATGATGGTGGATCTTAAATTCTTCGGTGAACCGTTCTGTTCGGTTGATTTTTCTAACTCCAACATATCGCTTGCACCACGTGTAGGAGTGTGCGCGGAGGCGTGCGATTGTTTCAGCTCGATTCGCAGGAACGTGCGCGGAACGCGTTCTCGTACGATTTTTCCGCGTCGGTGCGTACTTTGAACATTTGCCTCGTTAAATCAAGATGATTTCACAGAGGTTCTCCCGGTGCACCGAAATAGAACGAAGACGTCGAAACGTCGTAGCTAACTTATCGGTAATTAAATTAACCCTTCGCACTCGAAGCCTTTTCTCGCTGACATTACCAGCAACTACAAGTAATTTTAATAGAAAAAGCATTTTAACATATAAATCAATTATACTCGAATGAAAAGAAAAGTCATGAGTGTATTCTACTGTTTCTTATCGATTATAGATATAAATATAATATGTTCAACGACAAAATTTTACAGTTTGTAACGACAAACTCGAGTGCAAAGAGTTAATCGTGTATTTACACGTAAACAAGACTAATCGAATCTCGGCAAATGTATCGTTTCAATTTTTCGAAGAGATCAGGAATAAGTCATCCCAGTTATTCGGTAAGTTTACCGTTAAATTCGAAGAACACGCGTTCTCCAGTTGCGCCAGGAACGCGTCGAGCGAACGTACAGGAGAAAAGACGAGAGAGCTCGCACGCCTCCGCGTTTTGGTAAAGTATAGAGGAGAACGGTGGAATGCCGGAGACACGGAGGAATCACTTACATACTTATCATAGTTACAACGCTAATGGAAAATGTCGTGAGGTTACTTGAGGCCTTAATACGTCAGCACCCTGTAATTCACCAGTTTTGCGATGCGTCTTAACGAAACGGGCTACGTTCTCTGTTTCTCTTATTGATAATAATCGGCGGGAAACGCAACGGCTAAAGCTTCTTCTACACGTCTTTTTCCTACGCCACGGGAATCTATTATAGAATCTATGCACAAAAAGTCGGACAACATTACCGTTCTCCATGTATACCTCGAAACGTAAACCGTATACAACATCTCTCCCTACATCGGCGACGTCTACGTTCACTTTCTGAGCGGATGCCACTTGGCGATCGGGTGTCTCACGTTCGCCAGCATCAGCGTCCAGTGCTCCAACGCTCTTCCGGTCGACGTAGGTCCCACGATAATGTGCCCGACGGAGTACGGCTTCGAGCTTATGCTCTGATCGCCGTTTATCTCTGCTACGGTTAATCTCAGCTGTATGTGCTGGAAATCGGGGAAAGAAACAGAAATATATTTACTCGGCCGGTCCCGGTCGATAAAATAATTAACCTGGTTCTCTTGGCTCAGTGCACGGTCAAGAGGGATTTTCCGTTTTAGATATCGATTTACTTTTCACCTGTTTTTCATGGCTTCGCGCTTTATGGAACGCATCGATTTTGACGTTGGTTTTATTGAAGGTGTTCAACATCTTTTAGAATTTTCATTTTGCTTATTATAGTCACGTGGGTTAGAATAGAAATGATAATTCTAAAAATGTAGTAAATTAAGGAAACATAGGGGTAGGAATAGTCCCAAAAAATGTACTGTAAAGAAGAAATTAAAAAAAAATTTGTTAATCGAAAGATTAGAATTTATACGGATCAATATTTAATCGTGTTCATATTAAATAAACTCAAGTTTTAAATATTTACGTTGGTTTGTCTTATTGGGAAATGTTATAAATCGTTTACAATAATTTGGACTGTAAGAAGTTAGTAATATGTTACGATTTGTGATTTTCTTTTGTAATTATTAAATTTGAAAAAAAAATTATTTTCACAGTAACTTGCATCTAAATGCACAAGTTAAATGATTTACTACAAAAATTTTTAGTAAGAAGAATGAAAGAAATTGTATAATAGAAAGGTCAATGATGAAATCCGATTAATAAGATGAAATCTTATTTAGTAAAAAGATTGTGTGAAATTTCATTTTGGGCACGATTTTGTTGAAATATTAATTTTACTGAATTAATTTAATCAATATGTGGAAAATCCTTCTTAATGACGAAGATTTAATCCTTCTGCAATCGAATGAAATGATTAGGAATGATTTTGTTCTATCCGATATTCATTTTGTAACGATATGTACGTAATGTTACAATAATAAACTTCAACATTTTCGAAATAGATATTTGCAATAGATTAGACGTTTAATTTTTGTTTCTTGTTTGAATCTATTTCCCGTTCAATTGCAAAAGGGTTAATTCCATTTTTTTATGGAAAGTTTCTACGATAGCTACACTGAACCGTCGCGGAGAAATGGATCGAACCTGAAGAGCGAGCGTGGAGACATCAAAAATAATTGCCTCGTTGAATATTGGACTGTTTTCGCCTTTCTTTATGGACGTCCTCTTTTTGTGGATTTTCTTCCCTTGTTGCAGCAAATAAACCTTTGAAACATAGCGCAGTAAAGACAATATTTAAATCTGCAATGTTCAATATTAAAGAATCGGTAAGGAGATTTTCAGAGCTTAAATGGATTAAATAGGTAGCACCTATATTCCGAGATTCTTATAAATCTCAAATCGTTGAAAAATTTATGACTATTAGTTCTTATTGCATTGTATATTCTTAGAATTATCAAAATAATATTTTTTTTAACTTCATCCAGATATAAGGTAAATGTACCAGTAACTGATCATAGTTAAGGCTGGAGGGACATAATTATAAATATAAATATAATCTGAATGGGTTAGTTACTGTTACGTTTATCTTATTAATGTTTCAATGGATTACAGAACGCGTACGTTTCATTTTTATGCGAAACGTATAAAATTTTGAACGATCATGTACATATTTTGCAGATGTACCTTAACGAAGAAATCCCCCGGCACATTACTAACGCCACGCAAATTCTTCGCCTTCACGACAACCAAGGTGAGTCTTTCAGCAGTTGGTAAGTAGCTCAAGGAGAACATTAATTCACCTAATTGTGGCGTCGGCAGAGGTGACCCCGTAAGGGGTAACCATGTTGTTGCTGGCGCCCTCGGTACAGGTCCCAGTTGAAACGTTGCTCTTCCTATCAGAGTGTCATTGTCATCCACACTGGAAAACACCTTAGAAATCGGCATATAAATTATTATAATCCATAAATTTTTACGCTTAGTTAACCCCAAACAACCCAGTAATGTCTGATGGACATATTTTCAAATTGCTTTTCATACGGAAACAAAAACTGTCCATGTACTTTATTGCTATATCATTTTGTCTAATATATCTCCTTGCTTTCTCTCTCGAATTATTTCATCAACGCTTTTTACAGGACAATTTTTTCGCCTTACTTTAACAATTTTCTATAGGTTAGTCACAGTACAAAAGCATACTGGATGATTGACTGTTTGATGGATGTATAACTGTTTCGACTAGATTGCTGATTTTTATGCACTTATGGAAATATCGATTTTTATGTTTCTTAAGAAAAATCATTCTCTATTCTAATTTTGTTTTTGTGTTTATGTTCTCAAAAATTTTAATTTCCATCGAGATCTGCTAGTTATCATTCACTATGTTCGCAAATTATCCTCCTACCGTCTGATGATTTTTATAGTATTTGTTAGGAGAAATTATTTTGCATCGTATTTCTATGTTTCCAATTATGTTTTTAAAACTTTGAATTCCCATAAATATCCGCAGTCCAGTTATGACAAAAGCTTGTTGCATCTAATCGAATGCTTTTTGTCGGAAGTAGCAGATAGTTTCTGGTATACCTACTTCGATAAGCAGAATGCTGCCGGTGGGAGGACCGTGAAGGCCGATCAAAAAGTTTTGCTGGTAACTCGGCGACGAACTTCCCTTGTACAGTCTAGTTTTCAGGTGATGATCCGTGTAGATTGTGTCCGATACTAGGGATACTCTACGAAGCGAAGTGTTCTCGTTAATTATGTTCGTGCTATATTTATTCTGATTTAACCCTTTGCGGTCGAATGTCGCCACAATGACGACTTCCGGCTAAAATCGAAAACCGCAAATAATAAATCTAGTTATTCAACTAATGAGAGACTGACCGGTGGTTGTTTTTCTTTTAATTAAAATTCAGTCTTTTATGAAGTTTAAGACAGTTTCGCCCGCAAAGAGTTAACTACTTTTTTTTAGTCGGGGACTATAGTTCTTTCAGTTTTCCTTTAAATACGTTTCAACGAAAATATGGCCATCTCCGTCAGACTTACTCTAGCCATTAACTCAAGGTCAAGGAACCTGGAAATTCAAAAAATAATCAAACTTCGTGTATAAGTGGAGTCATTTATAAAATCATTTATTTTACTCACACACAAAGCTTTATAATTGTTTGAATTTCCGAATTCGATAACTTCCCTTGTCAGACACGGTGTGGCAAGGGTTAACACGTTGAGTACCGCACGATTTTGCCGAGACAAATATAAAAAATGAAAATAATATAATATCAACTCATCTAATTGAATTACGTTGTATAATATAGAAAAGTCTTTAAATAATCATTGTTTAATCGAATGAGTTGTAATTCGATTTGATTGAGATCACCGTTGACCCCCATGGCATCCAACGTGTTAACACATTGCGGACCAAGAAATCTCGTTTTTATATAAAGACACTTAGCTATGCAACTTCGCTAATTATCACAGTATTGAAAAAATATAAAATTCAATTCGAATCGATTATCTATTTAAAATATATTACACAATATGATATCTGAGTTTTTCTATCTATAGTGATACGAGTTGACCTCAGTGAAAATTAGCCAGTCCGCAATGTGTTAAATTCAAATCACTGTTTACAGAAGATCGAAGTGTCGAACCTAGCGTATGTATTTTGTGCAGGTTGTCCGTCAGGTGTAAGGAGATCCTTTGCCTCGAGGATACTGACGGATAAACCACGGCCGATGTCGTATTCGACGCCGAGGCAGACCAATCCGACGATAGGCGCTTCTTCGAGGTCAGTAATTACCACGCTGGTGTCCGAGCACATGCTCTCGCAGCTTAACGCCCTCTTCAGGTTCGATTCATCCGGCGGAGGCTCCGGTTCCGGTCCCTGCGACCCTCGCCGATTTCCGGGGCTGATCCCATTGTAATCGTTCATTGTTGAATTCGTGATGAACGCCTCCTCCCATAAATGAAATTCGTTCGATAATTATTTTTTACGATATTACGGTCTTTATTTTTCATCGATTTTAACTGTGGAATTTCATTTGAAGAATCTCTGATAACTCGCAGTGAAATTAAATAATATGCACTCGCCAAACACAGCTCAAATGCATATATTATATATCGATGAAATGCTAAAGCAAAACGAGGGAACGTTCATGTTTGTCTGAAAAAGTAAATAATCGATCGTTGAAAGATTCAGTATTATTTTGGTTGGACTGATATTGATTTCTATAAATATTATTTGCTAGACGTTTGGATCGATTTTGATTGACGCAGTTACATAAATGTATATCTTAATTGTCTGGTTTTATATCTCTAATTTATAAACTCTGAACGGATAGATATCGATTATTTTAAGAACGATAGAGCAAACTGTACCGGGAACGTCTGGAAATCTAGTATTAATACGCGAATAGTTGTTCAGCTGAATCAGATGAACAATGCATTAGATGTTTCCGTAGAGTTCTGTGTCCGATTATACAAGAAAAATGTAATAAAATCTGATAATCCGATATTTCCCCTATAACTACCCTCCTGTTCGAGCTGGAGGGTTGAAACGTGGCACAAAATGTTTTTTCTTGGTAAATTATCGAACGGTTTATCGTCGGCTTGATTTGGTTCAAGGGTACTTTTGACCCCATTATCCGGCTATACAGTTTATATTTTCACGAGTTACTTCGCTCGCGATAAACCCGACTCGGAGATACTTGTTTCGTCAATTAGGACGTCCCCTAAATATAACGGGAAACAATGTCACTGTCAGAATCGATTTCATTTAGATTTTTAATCTTCTATTCGGATTCTAGCGTGGAATTATATTCCTTTGCTGCGCAAATAAAAGGAGGACTCAGCGATATTATATTTCTACAAAATCCACAATTTCTTGATACACTGGTTTAACTAAATATTGATTTAGCGGAAAGAGTTTAATCAAAAAATGCACCGCACCGAAGCATACATATTATGAAGATAAAGAGTACGAATACTTGTTTGATTTCCATTGATTCAATACTGTTTTTTATCTATCAACCCACTTCGCCCGAAGGTTCCTTTTTGGAACATTGCACTTTTTCGCAAATAAATGACAAATTTTGTGCAATAATAAAATCTTGCTTAGCAGTACTATTTTTGCACACTGTTCGCTATTTATTGTTCCCGTTATCACGAACATCTCGATATTAATATTTATTTCGTAATAAAAAGAAGCGATTGTGTCACGTTCTCTGATTGGTTTCTAATGTGTTAACTCCTTGCCCTATGATTTCTGAACTGTGATCGGTCTAACTACTTTGTTATTAATCGTTTGTTCAAAATAAGAGAAAAGTGCTTTAAGATATGTAATTTTCATTCAAACAAATTGATTAATATTTATGTTTGTTACAGTCTATTTTAAATTTTCACCAGGAGCCTGACACGATATTGCAGGGCAAAGGGTTAAGTACATTAAAAATTAATAAATTAATAAATGTAGATGTGAAACAGTTTCAGAAATATGAACGTAAGTCGAGGAATTAGGTTGTACCTGATACGATCTCTGTTTCATGTGTATGTCGTCGAACACGCTGCCAAAGTCTTGGTTGTTTCGCATTCTGCAAAAGAAGCTGATCGATTAATTCGTTAATAATTTTCTTTTGGAGGAAAGTACGGATGAAAATGACAATTAAAGCAAGCTTACCCAAACGCATGGGTGTCCTCGAGCTCGTTCAGCTCGTCGAATATGCCGTTCTGCCTTTCCATACTTTTTCTCCTTTGTTCGATACTATTCAGAATATCCTGAAAGCAATTTTTGTTAGACTCGTTGAAAATGGTATTGGCAATGACGAATATTCGATAAGTTATCAAAAGAACATAATATTATATATTAATATACTATATTAATTGAAATTAATTATTTTTATTGGAAGTGTTAAAAGACAATTATAACTTAACACTTAGTCGACCGAATTAGGAAATCTCCCAGTTCTCTCTTAATAACGCATTGCCATTTTTTCTTTTGCTATTTAATTTTGCTCAGTTTTTTAAAATACAATTTTTAATAAAACCTGTTGAATGAGTTCAATTAAAGTTAATGAAGAAGGTTATAGTTATAGTCCTTGTTCGACGGTCGTTAAAATTATTTTCTAACAATAAGTTCGATCATTTAATATAATTTGTAAAAATGCTATTAAATTTAGCAGTAACGTAGAGTAAACATTATTAATTAGCCTGTAGAACTGTCATCGTTAACTATATTCAACGAACATAAATTCAAATAAAAGAATTCCAAGTTTTTTTCACAGTAATGTCGATCCGAACAATAGCAAATAAAATCTTGATGAAGTTTGGAATATAAGCAATCTTTCAATTACACAAACGAAGTTCTCCTTCACTCTGCTGTCTTCACAAATAAATTAAACAAGCATTCGCATATTTACATACGATTCAATGAAATTCTTATGGGATTCTCATACCTCCGAAGTCCTCGTTAAACTAGGATCAGTCTCATCGGCATAGATCTCATGATTGTGATTTTTGAGTAACAATGGCGACGACGGAGGATTTTGTAAACTATTATAAACCTGTGTGAGAAACAATATCATTTAGTAATCGCATAATCGAGTAATAAACGGTTTCCGTTAACACTAGAACTACCGCACCCGTCAAAATGGCGGATCTCAGTTTTCTTATTTTGCAATTACTCGTATCTTAAAAGTGTTAAATGTTCGAAATCATTTGAAAAACAGTTTCACTTAAATATCATAATGAATAAATGAAGAAATTGAAAAAAAACTGATCGTTATAAGTTTTATAAGAATTAGATATTGATTAATATTAACACTAAACATACCGCGACTTATCGAATGACCGGATTTAAAATCTGATTGAAAATTCTGCATTATATTTCGATCGTTTAACTTATATTGTTCGAGTAATCAGTTCTGCAATTGTCTTTCCTTCTATTTTTATTCTCGCTAAGAGAAATTGATCATTTGATTTGTTTACTTTTATTTTGTAATTAGTTATTCGACTGGTTACTTTAGAAATAGGTGTGTGCAAATTACTGTTAACCCTTTGCACTTCATAGACGCCTCTCAGCCGGCACACGATTTGGTAGATCGAAATTATGAAGTATAATATTTAACGTTAAGTTTCGTATGACGCATTAATATGTGAAATATTCAAATAAAACAGCCTCTTTCTTTAATCTATGTACGATTTCTCGTTTAGTTAGTCTCAAGAAATGTTGACTCTACCTCATTAGAAAGAGTATTGTTGACTCTTGGCGTGCAAAGGGTTAAAATCTCGGTTGTTTTAGTGTTAAACTTTTATCTACGTCTATCTACCTCTTGCGCAGTCCTTTGAGCTTCCAAATTGAGCTCGGGACTATACAGATCAGAGCTGCGTTTGGAACCATCAACGCTTAACACGTCGGAATCGTTTTCTCCGTAAATATCTTGAATATCGCTCTGCAACTGACTATTGATGCTATCCTCTATCAGCGACGGAAATCTCGACGGAAAAGAGTACTGTTCGGTTTGTTGCGGCGAGGAAAGGATCGAACTACGGTTAAAATAGAAATCAATGTTAATAGTGTCAGCTGCATCCTTTAGATTCCTACTTCACAGTTACAGATATCTTTTCTGTTTCGCAGAATTATTATTTGGCTTCATTACTGCAGAAACAATTAACACATTGACTGCCACTGTGGTTTTCGATGTCCGGAGGTTATGAATTATAATTACATATCTATAATTGCAATTATAACATAATTGTGCTTGTAATTAAGGTTAGATAATTATGATTTCACATAATTATGCTTACAATTAAAATTATAATTCATAAGGCAACTAACGTCGAATAAAACTGTTCGATAACGTATATAATTAGATAACAGTGTAACGTAAGAATTACGTTACCCAATAACTAATAACTATTCCTTTTTATCTCCGTTACAAAGGAATAAATGACATAAAAAGTTTTTCCTGGCAGTTAACACGTTAATATTCGAAACAGTTCTGTTTCGTTTATGCAGTACGAAATTATTCACAATAAAAATTATCAACCGTTTGCGCAGAATTTGTCAACGGAATTATCCTCTCTTGTAGCAAGTCAAAACATTCAACCGTGCAAATGAAATTTCTCCAGAAAATGCTCCTAATTATTGTCGCCTTGCCTATATCAAAATAAAACGCTTTGTTCTGTTCATTTACTACACGTTAACCGTGCAACAATTACACGACAATTACACGAAACAATTACCGAAAAAGCACGATCCCATTTCAAATTCCTCGATCGCGAACGCGTTAAAGAAACGATCAACCTCCGCGAGAACCAAAGAATAACTCACTTGTAAAACTTCGACGGGTCGATGTAATTCTGCAGGGTGGACAATCTGAGAGCGTTGAATATCCTCTCGCCGGTGATCTTCCCGTTCTTCTTTGGCACATCTTGTAGAGGATCAGGCGGCGCCGGCGGCGGCGGTACCGGGCTAGGCGTGGAGTCCGTGTTGAAGTTCATCACGTTGATCGGCTCCGCGATCGTGTCGTCGTACAACACGTGATCCTCGTCCAGCTCGTTCATCGGGTCGTAGATGGGGCGGTCGGGCAGGCTGCGGATGTACTGGGACACCTTCTGCAAGCCTTGCGACTCCCAGAACAAATACGACGTGTCTATGTTGTCCTGAAGGCTACAGCTCCTGAACGGTTTCATCTCGATGCTCTGCATCTCGTTGCTCTTGTGCTCGTGTTCGTTGCCCAGGCTCTGCGTGCTGTGCAGCATCTTGGGCAACGCGCCTGGTTTGAACATAGGCTCCACGACGGTCTGGCTGATGGTCACCATGTGGTTCCTCTGATTGATCTCGTGGCCACCGTAGCCGGTGCTGTTGTCCTCTTCGACCTTACCGTCTAGGTTGGACATCTGTCCACCGTGGACTCCGTACCTCATCCTAGCCGACGACTCGACAGCGTCGAATTGCCTGTAAGGGCTACACCTATTCTCCTTCCGCCGCTCTTCCTCCAGCTCGTATCGCAGCCGCGAGTCCATGTGTATGCTGTCCGCGACCGAGTTCGTGCCGGCCTCCTCGTACCTGAACGGAGAAGATTCGTTCGGCGCTTTGTGGAGTCCGTAGCTCTGGATCGGCGGCTGCGTCTCGAAGAGAAAGACGGACGGCCTGGCGGGTCTCGAGGGAACCGACGGCCTTTGCAACGACGGGGGCGGAGTTAATGGACCCGGGCCAGACTCTTGCATTCTTAGGTAGTCTATGGTACTCGAGGTCTGAAGTGGAGGCAGCCTTGGACGAGCAGGTGGCCCCGGTTGGGGCGCCGGCCTCAGAGGTTGCGGCGGTATTGCGCTGCCGGTGGTGCTCAGAGGCGGATGGAGGTCCCTGTCCACTGATTCGAATCTGCAAATATTAACGCATTCGAAATCGACGTTTCGATGGAAACTGTTTTAATGATTGGTAACATTTGTGGAGCTATAGTGGTGAGTAAATGGAATTGGAAGATACGAGGATAAGAAATACACGTTTTAGAAGAGTGAAGCCGAAAATAAATTATGTAAAATATATAATTACGTATTATATATTATATATTAGATAAAATATGATATTATATATCATATAGTATGTTTATATAAAGTATAATAATTATACATTATATATTATATTTATGTTATACCTTATATTATCATATTATACCTTATATATATTTAAAGAAAAGAAGAAAAACGTGAAACTTCAAGGCTACGTTCTACAATCGGTCCAGTTACCTTGTGAAAGCTCCTTGCGCGTCGAGCCTGAGGTCGCTGTCGCTGTGAAGCAGATGCTGAGACGTGTTTCCAGTTTGCCGATACAAGCCAGGGATTGTCTGCGCCGTCGGATATTGTGCTTTCACCAGGCCAACCTGCGAATCGGCGTGACGGAACGATTGCGACGCTTTCCACGATAGTTTCGTTGCACAGAATCTTTCATAATCTCCCGGTGCAACGTCAAACGCTAACGCTTTATCGACCGGGCACGCCAATTGGCGTCCCACGTGAAATATTGCGATGCACCGTCATTATCGAAAAGTGCACCAATGCTTCAGGAAACACACGGCATCGTGGTTAATTAATAAACCAATGGAATTTCAAGGAGATCGACTAACCCATTGATTCAATCGCATTTCTTAAATATAAGAGATCTATGGGGTATGAAGCTTAAACACATTTTTCTATTAGTGAAATCGAACATGCATTGGCACTAGGTTTACGAATATTTGTTGCTAGGAAAACTGATATTCCTTCTACGCGTCGAGAACCGAGGTGACCGAAACATCGCGAGTGCAAGAGTCTCATTACGTCTCCGAGTTCTCGGCATGAGGAATAACGCCAACACTGCTCACACGGGAACCAGCACACGCCGACTTTGATGAAACTTCTGTGGAGCATAGTTCTCGAGAGAATATTTCCCACGTATTTTTTCTTATCGGCCAACATCCATTTTAAACGGACGAAAGCACCCCTCAAAATCGAGGGTTGAAAGTACATCTTTTACAATATCTCTGAGACTGTGTACAAGAGAAATCCAAATTGTTCATTTCGAGGCAATTCGAAAGATTCCTAGTTTCAAAGATATTGTAAAAAAATATACTTCCAATCGTCTACTTTTAGGGGTGGTTTCACCTCTTCAAAGTGGACATTGGTCAATAAGAAGAATGAAGTGTGAAATATTTTCTTGACAACTATTCCACAGAAGTTCCATGAAAATTGACGTGTGTCGATTGAAAAGGTTCACTTGTTCACATCCATCGGCGGAACGCGCCGGCGTGAACGCAGTAGATCAAACAATTGATCTTGAACAGACCGTATGAGTGACTACGCTCGACTTTCCGGTGAAGGAATTTTGTCTGTTGTGTTTTCGATAGCTCGCGCAATTCTGTGTTCGCTTTACCTTCTCTTCCCGCGGCGCCCACAGCCAGGACAACCTTTGCCGCCATTCCTCGCAGACGTTCCACACGTTCCTCGGTCCCCATTGCCACCCGATGCGATACCTGAGGCGGCATAACACACAAGGTATTATTACGTTACGGCCTTTCCGTTCGACGCTCGGGGGGCTTTTGATGCTGCGAGCTGTTACGTTAGATGCCGCGGTCGATAATCATGTTTTCATAGCGAAACTTTCGGGACAACAACGCGGAAATTAGATTACTGGGTCACTCCACCCGAACACGGAAAATATGGATGTTTAATAGAGGCGGGGCCAGTGATTCGAAGTTAATTCGGCCGGACGCGGGAGGAATCGCCTAAAACCGGCTGGATATTATTATTACAGCGGACGATGCATCATTGACACAGTCAACGGGACCAGATGGTTAGAATTATTAAAAGGTAGAATCGAATTCACCTCGGGAGGTGAAGATTTTAGCATGACGAACGTAGAAAAGGACGATGCGAGTGTAGGGAAGGGAAAAACTGAGAATTGAAGCGTTCGGTAACATAACTAGTTAACTGTTTGACGAATATACACGTGTTAAAGCTTGAAATGACACTAATTCTTCCAACGATGAATTATTTATTTTTTCAGATAAACGTCTAATTCGTCTTTGTTTTGTTTTGGAGTTTCGTAGGTGCATTCGTCCTGCGTTTGACGAGTACACACTTCATTTTTTGATTTTACTGTGTGTGAAACGAGAGATTTTTTGGACCAAATTCCACAGTTGACAGGTTGACACTGGAACTACCAGAGAGGTTAAAACGACCCATTCCTGATTCCTTCTTTTCACAATTATAACAAAGATAACATAATTGTCGGAGGAGTTACTGTAGAAATTGATTTAGCGATAGGTAAACTGAACTGTAAGTCAATAGAAATTTCAATAGCACCATTGACGGAGTTTCTATAGAAAAATTTCGAGAAGCCAAATTGTCTGTTCGGTAGTTCCAATGTTATACGCTTGCGATGAGCTTCAGATTTTTAATTAAAATATCAAACTTCTTTATTTTCGATTGTTGATGAAACGAAAGTAAATTTTATTCGGTATCGTGAAATTCGGATCGCGTAAATTAATATCATGTGAATTATTGTTGTGTTGTAATTTACCGTGTAGAAAGGAGACTCGTATAAAATAAGTACCGCGTAAATGGAGGGATGAGTGTAAATAAGAGCTCGTAACTATGATGCTTTTTGCCAAAGTGATTAAACTTAGAACGAACAGTGCCAATAAAAATAAAAATGATCAGAGTTCGTGTGGAATGGTGGACAATAAACCAGAAAAAAATTTATTTTTATTTTCAACTACCCTGCCATCGATTATGGTACTTTTTTTTATTTCGCCGCTTGGCAGTGTTTACTCGCGGCTTTGAAACTTAATTTACAAGATTGAACGCTTTTTAATCTTTATTTTTTAAATACATAACGTATTTAAAAAATAACCGTGCGAGCGGTTATATATAAAAGTACTATATTGTTATTAAAATATTAATTATTATTAAAACGAAGAAGCTTGTAAATTTGAAAAAACACCATTGGTACACTACAAATTTCTACTATGAGTACACTGAAAATATGTATATTCATATTGCGTCGATAAAAGTTTATAGACTGCAAAGCTACAGATACACTAGCATTTAAATCGAGACATTTCTTTCTGGTAGTGACTCGGAGTGTTCACACTTCCGTTTTATTTTATTATCACTGGAAGTTAATTGATCTTGTCGTCAGCAGTCTCCGAAGACATCACAAAAACATGTCGCAAATTATATTTGCTAGTGTATTAGTTACTAATTTACATTATTAATTCGAAAGATCATAGTCTAACGAGTAAAAGCCTATAACATCATTTTCTAACATTTGCTTATTACAAAGTCATTTATCACGTTAATCATGTCAGTCACCGACGACCGACGCTTCTGAATTACTTGAAAACATTCGTAACAGGCAAGATAACCGATGTCGAAAATGTTTAATAACATAACTAAGCTGATAACAGTGTAACGCAAGGATAATAACGCCAAATAATCAATTCCTGCCTTTCTTCGCTACAAAAGAATAACTCTACGCAAAAGCGGTTAAGATTTTCATGTCGTTCAACGCGTTAAACATTAAAGTAGCGACTATAATAAACATCTAATAATTTATTCAAATCTTTACAAAACTAGCAACAATGATAAACCAGAGCCACAAAGGGTCCATATCGCCGACCGCGTTGCCGAGAAAATATATCACCGGCGGAGGGTGAAACCGCCGCGAGATCTCGAACGCGTTAATGATTTCTATTTCAGTCGATATAAGATGAAACGAAATTCTTTAGATAGCTATCTGTCCTGTTCGCGCCAGCCGCGATGGCGGAGCGGCGTTCGATCACGTGGAGGGCTCGACCGGCGAGGGAGCGGCTAATGGCGTGGCGGCAAGCACGCGGGAATATGCTATTATTAACCGAATAGAGATGCGAGCTCGTCAAAGGGGTCACAGGGAAAATCAATTTCAGTAAGCGCGACATTAAAGGTAAAATAAAATTTCGCCGCGTCCCCGGTTAACAGTCGAGTTAGCTGATCCGAGCCGAGGATGCGGGGTCGCGGCCGCGCTTTTTCCTGAAACTTTTACGCGGCCGTCGTCGGGCGATATTTATTTTATCACCCGGCATTAGGACGGGAACGCCGCCGATAAAGGTATAAATTCTAATTCCCGTTGTCCGCCTTTAAAATGAATTTCACGGGGTATATACGGCGCTCCGTACCGAGGTCGCCGTTAAACGCCGATAAATCGGGCCGTTTGAGATTTTGTAGTTGGCTGGCGCGTCGCGTCGGATCCCATTTTTATGCAGATCGAACGTTAATTGTCGATTTTTGTTTGGGATCGGGCAACCGGAACAATCGCTTCGTAACGAAGACGGGACGAATTTAAAGTGAATTTTACGACGTTCGGATGTCGGGGACTCACATGGAATTTTACATCGAGCGCCGTGCAATTAACCTGTTAAATGTGGAATTTAGTTTGAAAAATCTCTCGTTTCGGAATAAAATGAGAAGATCAAGTTTATACTCGTCGAACGTGGGACGAATGCGCCGAGGGTAGATTTCAATTCAAAGAAGAATTACACGTTTGTTTGGAAAGAATGAAGAATTCATCGTTGAAGGAATTAGTATGATTTCAAGCTTTAACCTTTTGTCCTATGATCTCTTTCTCAACTGTGATACAATCACTTTGTCATTAATAATTTATTGAAAAAACAGAGAATTCTAGGCATGACTGTGATATACGAAACTTAAGGCAGATCTTGCCGAATTACACATCGAATGCTTAAATGATAGAGGAAAAGGAAACAATTTATCGATTCTTTGCTGTTTCAGTAATTAAATCGTTTGTTTGAAATTTAACATTACAAACGTGAGAGTGTCATCTCGGCAGAGTGTCGACATTCGTCCGCAAAGGGTTAACGAAACCGACAACGTCCATCGTTTGCAGTCAGAATTCCATATTCCTTGCTGCGACTCGAGTCGTTTCAAGGAACGTTGTCTCGCGTTTCTTGCCGCGCTCGAAGAAGAATAAACCCCGGGCACAGAAAAGGGTAGATAAGAAACCTCTGATACAATTGGTGGCTGAATGACCCTTTAACCTGTTGCATGTGTAGCGTTTACCCGACAGCGTTTACTGCACTGCTATGTAATGTGAGAAAACACTGGAATAGGGAAGCTTCTCTGCATGTAATTCGAGGATTATTCGCTGCCGTGTAACGCGAGAAAAAAACTGGCGCGTTGCGTTCGGTTTCAGAGGCTATTGATAAACACAACTAGCCTCCACAGAAGAGGCTTTATTATTTACTCTTTATTCGTCTTTGAAAAACGAATCACCGAAGAGAAAAGATGAAAAGGAACAATTGAGAATTATGTGATTGATATACGTGATATTAGGATGGTTCGGAAATTAGTATAATAAATTTTGTTGATTATAGTATAATAGTATAATAAACATATGTAATAAATCGAATGATACCAGATGAGACTTTCTTCCAATATGACATCTATGAACAAAAATGCTTCTGGTTTTCAAAATTTATGACATCGTTGAATATGTGTAATAAATGTCTGTAATACACCTACAAATACCAGATGAGATCTAATGAAACATCGAATAAACAGAATTCTCCTGGTTTCCAAAGTTAATTACATTGTTGAGTATGTGTAATAAACATCTGTAATACACCTAAACGTACCATATGACATTTTCTTCTAGTAAGATTGCTTCTAATAAAGTTTGAAAAGGAATATCTACGATTTCCGAATTATATAGCATCGTTGGATATGTTTAATAAAAATATTTATAACAATTTCTCAATTTTGACAGGATATTTATAAAAATTGATAATACCAGATGAGATTTTTTCCCAGTAAGACAAGTTTGAAGCAGAATGCTGTGGTTTTCAAAATAATGATACTGTTTAGTATTTGATAAAAACATCTATAACAAATCTATTAATACCAGATTAGATTTTCTCCCAATATAGTAGGTTTGAAAAAGACTACCTATGGTTTCCGAATTTGATAGCATCGTTGAGTATATATAATAAAAACATGACAAATTTAACACGTTGAATGCCATGGGGGTCACTGGTGACCCCCGACCAAATCGAATTACTATAGTTCGCTCAATGAAACGACGATTATATGAAAACATTTCTACATTATAAAGAACGCTACATAATACAGTGACATTTAGCTAGATAAACGTGTAATAGTAATAATGCAATTCGAAAATCATTTATTATTATATTTTTTTCCATTCCGTGTATTTTCCTGTACGAAATCGTGCGGCGTTCAACGTGTTAACACTAGGTTTACTGGCATTTATTGTACACTTCATTCTATTATTCCTAAAAGAATCGATGCTCGTTTATTTAGATTGTGGAAACTGGAAATACTAAAATCCAATATGCGTCAATTTGACGCGTTCCGTAAACCTAGTGTTAAAAACACCAGATGAGACTTTCTTCTAACAACACATGCACTAAAAAGAATGTTTGTAATTTTCACAGTTTATAACATCGCCGGGTGTGCACGTCAGTCATCGCCACGTGGAATTATTAAAACGCTGGTATAATCACCTTCTGCAGAGAGCCAGGGCGGCGCCAGCCACGGCGACAATGACCAAAGCCACCCCAAGACCGGTGAGTGTCCAACCCATCCTTCTTAATACCAAATCTGGGCTGAACCGCAAATCCAATCAAACCGCCGAGCCTGAAACACACGGGGTAAATCCATGGAGAGCATGATCCGATTACAGTTACAGAACCAAGATTACTCGCGGATTAACAATCCTTACGGACATCCATGGCGTACTTTATTCGATTCGATCGGCGTTTCCTATATGCCACGGTTTCCAGTTCGTACACACTGATATCCATCTTCACGTGGATGATACCGTGGCTGCTCATCTACCATGGAGGAACAAGCGATTCGGTAATACCCAGTTTAATCGTTGCGCATTGAAATTCTTAACTTTCGTGTGTATGATCCTTGTTGAATCGAAATTCGCATTGTTCGAGGCTGTGCACTGCTGCTTATACCTTATTCGCGATTAAATGCGTACGATAATGATCCTGCGGGGAATATTGTGGACAATCTGGGAGGAATTAATTTACGACGGAGAGCGAGTGAAAATTACCTAGAAGAAATTGAATTGTGGCGGGAGATTTCGGAGATTACTGAAATTTTGTAACATTCGTTGACATTTGGGAAGTTAACGCTGGCACTAGACATTTTCTATATTTGTATTTATATATATTGTAGAAAGTAAAGTAAATTCGCATCTAGGTTTTACACAATAGTCAATTTTTTATGAGACTGTATCTAATATTAGTTTGTACATTAACATGCTAACTGTGGAATTTAATTTCAGAAATCTCTGATAATGCTCGCAATGAAGTCAAATATATTTCAACGAAAACCAAAGTGAAACGAAGAAGAATCACATGTTTATCCGAAAAATAAATAATTTATCGTAAGAATTAGTATCATTTTAATTTTAAGATGTATACTCGTCGAACACAGTTAATTGGTTAAAGAAATTAGACGCGTACAAATAGAGCATCTGTCGTATTACATAAAGTGAGTTACATGTTGCACACACATATAACAGTAGAAACGAAGTTAATTGACTCGTTCGGCTAACATAAAAAACAAACTAAGTTAAAGTAACGTCGACCACTTTGTACGAACTCGAACACGAAGTTTAATCTTAATGCCCCGACGATTAACTCCGCAAGAGAGTCCATAAAATCTGTTTCAATGCATAAATACCGCGGAACACGACACAGTTTTTACAGTTGCTCAAGAATAATCGATGTCGAGTCGTCCACGAGATTTTTCGACGGTGTAACGTTAACTACTTCACGGAATTTGTCGACAAGTGGAGGTCGGACGGCAACCGGAAATGTCGATGGAAGTTAAGGAGGCAGCGTCGGGAGCGATAAAATCATACCGCCGGTAAGTTTCTTGACGATTCGTGCTTTGGTCGTGGCACGACGTGAAAAGATTTTCGTGATTCGTGGAGAAACTCCGAAGCGGAATTAGAGTACCTATTCGTTAACGGTTTCATCCCTCGCTACGTTGCGATGGGCCTTAACTTGACACGTTGGATGCCGTGGGGGTCACCGGTGAAATCGAATTACTATAATTCATTCGATTAAACGATGATTATTTGAGAACTTTTCTATATTACAAGTAGCATTACCTAATGCAGTGACATTCAACAAGATACACCTGCAATAATAATGCAATTCAATCACATAACTTGATATTCCATTATTTTCATTTTGTAGATTTTTCTCGGCAAAATGCGGCACTTAACGTGTTAACCTGTGCTTAACACCTTGCTGACCGGTGAACTTTTCTACAAAATATCTTTCAACTTTAGTATACATATTTTATTCGCATATGTAGTATGTCGAATTTTCAGGGTAGGTTTAGGATATTTTTAAGAAGTGTGAATGCGAGAATGAGTGTGAGCGAAGGGCCATGGAAGAAGGAAGCTTAACGGTCGAGGAAAAGTGGCCTGCACAACGTCGCGGGTCATTTTCATTAGTACAAGTAATTAGAAAAGTAAATGTTGACAGTGGAGCTGGTAGTTGGAGTGGATCGTCTTTACTTGTTATGCCTTAAAGTTAAACCTTTGCGCTCGATTTATTTTCAATGTTGTTGGGTGTAAACTTATTTATTTTTAAGGAAATGGATTAAAGGAGGATTAAAAAGAATTTTATTTATCACTCTTATTATAAGATTTACCGTGTTGATTGCCACTATAGTTTCGAACGTTTTGTGTAACAATACATATTCTTCAACAAAGACAAATGGTATTACAAATAATTATTAATGACTTGGTATCTCAGTACACGCGTTACACTATTATCTAGCTGTTTCTGTTACTAAGTATTTTTATTCGACATCAGGTTTCTTATTGTAATTGCATTTAAGCAATTTTGAAGCTCCGGTCACCGTGGCCACCGTGGCAGTCAACGTATTAATAGAAATTTGTTATAAAACGTTGGATATCGTTTTAAAAAGTACCACACTTTAAAATATAAAAATTAGCACGTTGACAATAGACATTTCTCATAGAACGTTTTTGTTTTAAAAAGTACCACAGTTTAGAATATAAAAATTACCTCCAGCATGATGCACGAGTGCGAAGGGTTGCTACACATGAAAAACTGCGACTTCTAATCTCGAGACGTTCGGGTTTGGCGAGAACGCCTGCATCCGGGTCCTCTCAAGGCGAATCGGTTGGTAGGTGTGCGTGCACGTTTTCGGCCGAATAGATCGTGTTGCGAATATATGCGTGATACACAGGCTATACATATGTATAGCGAGAAGTCGAGTACATAGCCGGAGCGGCGAAGAAGAGTGGAGAACCCTTAGACAACTGCCCTTATCGTCGCATAGGCAGTCTGCCTTCGAGCCGGGATACGTGCCTCCGACGCGATACATTCGGAATATTTAATGACGGAACGGATCCATCGGTAGCACGCTACGCTTTTTACATTCCTCCGATCATTGTTTATTATTCTTGAATGTGTTTGTTCCGTGGAAGGAAGCAGGAAGTTTTGTAACTTCATTCTCTGGTGTAAAGTATTCGGTAAACGTCCAGCTGTTAGCTTTTTATATTTGTTGTTTATTGTTTGAGAGTGCTTTTGTTTTGAAAAGGAGGTAACCATTTTGGAAGTACATTTTCTAACTAGTAGAATGTTCAATAAACACCCAGTGGTTGCACGTTACTTTTTTATATTTTCCTGATCATTGTTTATTATTTTTGAGCGTTTTTGTTTTGTAAAAGGAAGTAAACATTTCGGAAATATGTTTTCTAGACAATCGAGTGATCGATAAACAATTGTCGGTTGTGTGTTTTTTAATATTTTTTCTAATCGTCGTTTATTATTTTTGATCGCTTTCGTTTTGTGAAAGGAAGTAATAATTTTGGAAGTAAATTTTCTAGTCAATCGAGGGATCAATAAATAACCATCGATTGTTATTTATGAGAGGTTTCGTTTTGTGGAAGGTAGTAATAAGTTTTATAAATACATTTTCTGATGTATACTGTTCAGTAAACATCCGTTGATTGCGTATTACTTGTTTACATTCCATCAAACATTGCATATTGTTTGTGAAAGTTTTGCTTTTGTAGATGAGGAGCAATGAGTTTCATAAGTACATATTCTAGTATAAATTGTTTAATATACAAGTCGCTTCTAAGAAAACGAAGAACAATTGATTTGCAATTCTATGTCGAAAGTTTAAGTTAACGCATTGCGTACTGGTTAATTTTCAGAAAACTGAATTAGTAACTCAAATATCATGTTGTTATGTAATGTATTTTAAATAGATAATCAGTTCTAATGAAATTTAATATTTCTTTCAATGCTGTGGTAATTAGCCAAGTTACATAGTTAAGTGTCTTTATATAAAAACGAGATTTCTCGTTACCAGTATGTAATTAATCATAAATTAATTTAGATCACGAAAAATGTGATTTTGTGAAGATGTTCAATTTCGCTTGAAATAGTTAAGATGAATTCGACTTCATTGATAGCGTTAGACGTCAGATATTCTAGGCACGCGCACGCGTATAATAAAAATGATTTCACGTATAAAAATTTATGTGAACATGGGTCCGGAAGTTCGGAATAAAAGCCTTCCAGCATTTAAAAGCGATAAATCTGTTTCAGGAACGAAACTCGTTTAGCGTTGAAATTTTGCGTTGCAGTAGATCCAACGAAGTTCATTTTGGTTATAAAATATATAGTTGAAACCTAGAAGATACCACATAAACGATCTCAGATTCAAAAGACGCGATACAGACACTTTCAGATCCAAGAGATTTGATACAGACATCTTAGTAGAGATTCGATAAGATCACGCCGAAGATCGAGCAAATCCCCCAAAGTTATCGGACTTAGATCTGAAAATCTTCAAGGCTCTTTGATATTTTGATCCGAATCCGCGAACTTCAAAGCTTTGAGAACCTGGCATTTTTCCGTAAGAGATTTTCGGTTTCTGCAACTTAAGGATTTGAAACTTAAAATTGAAGAATTTGAAATTTGAGATTTAAGGATTCTGGCAATTTTGTGTAAGAGCTTTTCGGTCTCTGCAAGTTAAGGATTTGAAATTAAAAATTGAAGAATTTGAAATTTGAGATTTAAGGATTCTGGCAATTTTATGTAAGAGCTTTTCGGTCTCTGCAAGTTAAGGATTTGAAATTAAAAATCGAAGAATTTGAAATTTGAGATTTAAGAATTTTCAAGTTCTCAATTACTGTGAGTACTTTTAGGAATCCAGGCAATTTTCATTGTGTGTTTTGGGTGAAAAATAATTTGGGTCGAATCTCTTGTATATTTTAACGAAAAACCGAAACAGAATAAAGAAGAAATAAATGTCTATGTGAGAAAATAACTAATTCATCGTTGAAAGAAATCATTTCAAGCTTTAAGACAGCGTATATACTCGTCAAACGCAGTTAACTGGTTAGAAGGAGACTGATGTGAATGTGGTAGGGATGACGATATTGCAGTTATGAAGAGATCTCCGATGATTATCCAATATTCACTGTATAGAGCACTTTGGATCTAAAGAGCCCTATACACAACGAGACATGTCTTGAGACATGTTCCGGAATGAGCGATGGGTTAACAGGTTAACACGCTCGACGACCGACCAGCTATGTATTGCTTTTTTAACACGTTGAA